TAGATGTGTATAACTCGAGGCAGTTACACAGTGCTTACAACTGTCACTGGAAGTGAAAGCACTAGAAACTAAATTAAGTCACACGCAGCTGTCATCCGTACTCCAGGAAGTAAGCACAAGATGCCGAACACCGTTAGCAGGATGCAGCACACCCTTCATGCGACTCGCCAAATACCTCACGGCCTTTCGCCCTCGGTGATGTGAGAGCCTGGTCCAGTGAGAACCCGGCGTGCTCCGTCCCGGCTTTGTAGGGATGCGAGGTCAATGGTCTAACGACTACGGCATGCACGACTACGAGTGCCCCCCCCCCCCCCCCCGGTGTTTGCCATCGGGAATGGTTTTCGTCGCTTGGCAACGACGTCGTAAAACAAGTCAATTCACTTCGTGAGCTCGGCAACCAGGTTACCGTTCCTTTTTTTACCTCTGTTTTTGTTCTGGCGGTAACCATGATGGTGGTCGAGTAGATCATGTTGTGCGGGGTCGAGAACCCTCACTCCGCGCAGAGGGGGATGATCGCACCAGGTTGTGTTAAAATGGTCAAGCATCCTCGAGGCAGTTTCACAGTGCTCAAGATGCCGTACACCTTTAGCAGGATGCAGCACACCCTTCATGCGACTCGCCAAGTACCTCACGGCGTTTCGTGCTTGGTGATGTGAGGGCCTGGTCCGGTGAGAACCCGGCGTGCTCCGTCCCGGCTTTGTAGGGATGCGAGGTCAATGTTCTAACGACTACGGCATGCACGACGATGAGTACCCCCCCCCCCTGGGCCCGTTCCTTTTTCTGTTTGAAGCTTTGCTTGCTTTGACTGGCCTGTGTTCACGGCCTGACTTCGATGTGAACGGGTGAGCTGTGAGGGACAAATAACCTATTTAGGATGGGATTCTGCGAGGACGACCTCGCGCCCATGAACGGCGCGCAGCGCTGATGCGATTCTGCCGGTGCTGCTTTTCTTGGCGTCTGCTTCCGCCCTGCTTTTCCTGCTGCTGTGCCGTCAGGTTGTGGATGTCGTGATTCCCTTGAGGTCCGAGGCTGCCGTGGAGATGCTCAAGTGCGGTGGACAGGTGACGAAACACGACATGGGGACGTCAACGCCCTGCATAGACTACGGTCGCAGATGATGATGTCCTTTCGTGGGGTTGGTATCACACACCAGCAGAATAGCGCATGTGCACGGTTTTGTTTGCGGCTGACGACTCTGACCGCCCGCTAGTGTAGGATTGCTGGCCTTTGGCAGCTTGCGTGCCGGCTCTTGATGGTGCGTGGTGCGCACGTGCATTCCAGCGGTAGGCTTTTCCGGCGCGCTAAATTACCGGCGACGCGCACGGCGCATCTTGTCCTGTTTTTTTTTCTCGCAGTGCTATCGCTGACGAGTCTGGCAATATTGCACCGGTGTAGCCTGAATCTTGTCCTGACGTGCCCCATATTTTTGCTGCCACCGCCTCCTTCTACTGAAGATTTTGTCGCCACTGTCGGGACGCGTTACGGCCGAAGCCCTGCTGCGAGTTTTTGGGATCAGAATGATATATGCGCATCCGAGATCGCGAGGTTTTCCGCTTTTGTTCTCGGGAGAGGTCCGCGAAAATGCTCTTGTCGTGCCCGGCCGACTTGCGGGGGTCTCGCCCCCCTACCGACCTTTCCTTTAGGAGCAATCTGCTTGTGTTCCTGTCCGCCAGCCTCGTGCCACGAAGGGGCGACAGACAGTGCGATGCTACTCCCCTCCTTCGTGCCCCCCCGCCCTTCACACTAGAGACTCACTCTTCTCGCTATTTTGCGATGCCCCCCCCGGTGTTTGCTATCGGGGTTGGGTTTTGGTCGCTTGGCAACGACGTTGTAAAACAAGCCAATTCACTTCGTGAACTCGGCAACCAGGTTACCGTTTTTTTTTTTCCTCCGGTTTTTTTTTTTGGCGGTAACCATAATGGTGGTCGAGTAGAT